AGGTACTCATACCCCCGCCGCCCGTACTCCAGAGCAGGTGATGCAGGGACTTCAAACACCGGGGATACTACCAGCCCAGTCGATTGCAGCTGCTCAGGCCCAGGTGGTCCCCGTTATAACTGATGATGAGCATAGGAGACTTGAGAGATTTGGGAGGTTTCAGCCTCTATCATTTAGCGGTGCTGAGTCAGAGGATGCTCAGGGTTTCTTGGATAAATGCCAGCAGATTATACGTACTGCGGGTATTCTGGAGACCAGTGGGGTCTCGTTTACTACTTTTAAGTTCACTGGGACTGCCTTCAGATGTGGGAGGCTTATCATGCTAAGACCGTGACGTTGGTGATGTCGGGGTTGCCAAGGATCAAGTGGAGAGGTTCTCTAGATTATGTTCCCATTATAGTGATTTCATATTTGAAGGTCCAGCGGATGGTTGGGAAGGGTTGTTTATCTTATTTGGCCTTTATGAGGGATGTAGTGTTGATACTCCTTCTATTGATTCTATTTCGGTGGTGCGAGATTTTCTGGATGTGTTTCCAGCAGACCTGCCAGGCATGCCGTCCGATAGGGATATTGACTTTGTATTGACTTGGTGCCGGGCACTCAGCCCATTTCTATTCCTCCGTATCGTATGGCGCCAGATGAATTGAAGGAATTGAAGGTTCAGCTTCAAGAGCTTCTTGATAAGGGGTTTATTAGGCCTAGTATGTCGGCTTGGGGTGCACCGATTCTGTTTGTGAAGAATAAGGATGACACTATGCGGATGTGTATAGATTATAGGCAGTTAAACAAAGTTACAATCAAGAACAAGTATCCTTTGCCACGCATTGATGATCTATTTGACCAGCTCCAGGGAGCGAGGGTGTTCTCTACGATTGACTTGCGGTCTGGGTATCACCAGTTGAAGATTCGGGACTCGGATATTCTAAAGACGACATTCAGGACCTGTTATGGTCATTATGAGTTCTTTTGATGTCTTTTGGGCTGACCAATGCCCCAGCAACATTCATGCATCTGATGAACAATGTATTTCAGCCTTATCTTGACTCGTTTGTCATAGTGTTCCTTGATGACATCCTGGTGTACTCTCGTATCCATGAGGAGCATGCCTAATATTTGAGGATTGTGTTGCATCGGTTGAAGGAGGAGAAACTTTATGCTAAGTTCTCCAAATGTGTGTTTTGGCTTAGTTCAGTGGCATTCTTGGGGCACGTGGTATCCAGTGAAGGGATTCAGGTAGATCCGAAGAAGACAAAGGCAGTTCAGAGTTGGCCCAGACCGTCCTTAGCTACGGAGATTTGGAGCTTTCTCGGCTTGGCCGGTTATTATCGTCACTTTGTGGAGGGTTTCTCGTCTATTGCATCGCCTTTGAGCAAATTGACCCAAAAGGGTGCTATTTTTAGGTGACCGGATAAGTGTGAGGAGAGCTTTAAGAAGCTCAAAACTGCCTTGACCACAGCTCCAGTTCTAGTTCTAGTTCTACCTTCAGCTTCTGGTTCTTATACAGTGTATTATGATACTTCTCGGATTGGTATTGGATGTGTCTTGATGTAGGAGGATAGAGGGATTGCTAATTCCTCGCGCCAGTTGAAGCCTCATGAGAAGAACTACCATGTCCATGATTTGGAGTTAGCTGTCATCGTTCATGCATTGAAGATTTGGAGGCATTATCTCTACGGTGTGTCTTGTGAGGTGTTTACAGATCATCGGAGTCTCCAGCATTTGTTCAACTTGAAGGATATAAATTTGAGGCAGCGAAGATGGTTGGAGCTGCTAAAGGACTATGATATCACTATTCTGTATCATCCCAGGAAGGCTAATGTGGTAGCCGATGCCTTGAGTAGAAAGGCGGTGGGTATGGGTAGCCTTGAATTCATTCCTATTGGTGAGAGACCTTTTGCAGTTGATGTTCAGGCTTTGACCAACCCATTCGTGAGATTAGATGTCTCGGAGCCCAGTCGGGTTCTAGCTTGTGTGGTTTCTCGGTCTTCCTTATATGATCGCATAAGAGAGCGACAGTATGATGATCCTCATTTGCTTGTTCTTAAGGACACAATTCAGCACGGTGATGCCAGAAATGTTACTATTGGGGATGATGGGGTATTGAGGATGCAGGGTCAGATTTGTGTGCCTAATGTGGATGGGCTACGTGAGTTGATTCTTGAGAAGGCCCACAGTTTGCGGTATTCCATTCATCCGGGTGCCGCAAAGATGTATTAGAACTTGAGGCAGCACTATTGGTGGAGGAGAATGAAGAAGGATATAATGGGGTTTGTAGCTCGGTGCCTCAACTGTCAGCAGGTGAAGTATGAGCATCAGAGACCGGGCGGATTGATTCATAGGTTAGAGATTCCAGAGTGAAAATAGGAGCGGATCACCATGGATTTTATAGTTGGGCTCCCACGTACTTTGAGGAAGTTCGATGCTATTTGGGTGATTGTGGATCGGCTGACCAAGTCCGCATACTTCATTCCAATTGGGACTACTTATACTTTGGAGCGGTTGGCTGAGATTTACATCTGAGAGATTGTCCGCCTCCACGGTGTGCCAGTATCCATCATTTCAGATCGGGGCACACAGTTTGCATTGTAGTTTTGGAGATCCATGCAGCGAGAGTTGGGTACCTAGGTTTAGTTGAGCATAGCATTTCACCCTCAGACAGACGGATTGTAAGAGCGCACTATTCAGATATTGGAGGACATGCTACGCACTTATGTCATTGATTTTGAGGGTCCTTGGGATCAGTTTCTGCCACTCGCGGAGTTTGCCTACAACAATAGCTACCAGTCGAGCATTCAGATGGCTCCGTATGAGGCTTTGTATGGGAGACGGCGTAGATCTACGGTGGGCTGGTTTGAGCCTGGTGAGGCTAGGCTATTGGGTACTGACTTATTTCACGATGCTTTGGACAAGGTCAAATTGATTCAGGATCGGCTTTGCACGGCGCAGCCTAGACAGAAGAGTTATGCCGATAGGAAGGTCTGTGATGTTGCTTACATGGTTGGGGAGAAGCTTCTGCTCAAGGTTTCACCCATGAAGGGTGTTATGAGGTTCGGGAAGAAGGGCAAGTTGAGCCCTCAGTATATTGGGCCGTTTGAGGTATTTCAGAGAATTGGGGAGGTGGCTTATAAGCTGGCCTTGCCACCTAGTTTGTCGAGTGTGCATCCAGTATTTCATGTTTCTATGCTCCGGATGTATGTCAATGCTCCGTCTGATGTTTTGGATTTCAACACGGTCTAGTTAGATGGTGATTTGACTTATGATATGGAGCCGGTGACCTTTTTGGATCGACAGGTTTGAAAGTTATGGTCAAAGGACATAACTTTAGTGAAGGTTCAGTGTAGAGGTCAGCCAGTTGAGGAGGCTACTTGGGAGACTGGGCGGGAAATGCGAAGCAGATATCCATACCTATTTCAGACTTCAAGTATGTTTCTAGACCCGTTCGAGGGCGAACGTTTGTTTAAGAGGGGTAACGACCCGGCCGGTCATTTTGAGAGTTATAGCCTCATTTCCCCATTTACTGCTCATTTTGTACTATATAGCTGTTATATGACTTGTCGGGGTAGTCAGTTCGGGTCCGATGGGGTTTTTGGAAGGAAGTAAGATACTTAGTCTCACGGTTGAAAGCTTAAGTTGAAATGGTTGACTGGATGTTGATGTCACGACCTAATTTTCCCTCCGTAAGATGTCATGACGGCACCTAGTCTCTACGACTAGGTAAGCCTAACAAAAGGCGGAAAAAATGGAAATAAAAGTAAAATTAATAATAAACTGCAATAAAATAATAAGTAGTTGATAAAATGTCGCTCGGCATGTACAAAACCCAACACTCGGGTATACACAGTAAATTTCCAAAATCCGGTAGTCATAAGTCACAAGCTACAGAAGAAAGACTAGTATCTTAATACACACTACAATAAAATGAGGATACGACGACATTATATAAATGTCATATTAGTTCACTTAAATGTCGTTAATTCATTTACCGACATTTAATTTACATTTGTACTAAATGTCGTAAATTTTGGGGTCGGAAATTTTCTGACATTTATGTTAATGTTGGTAAGAGATTTGCGACATTTATAAAATTGTCACTTGAAATTTATGACATTTAGCCTAATGTTGGTAAAAGATTTACGACATGTATTTATAGCCTTAATAAAATGTCACAATCATATTTTTGACATTTATATTAAAATGTCAATAAAAGATTCACGGCATTTATTTATAACTTTTGGGAAATGTCATATCAAAAATTTCAACATTTAGGTTAATGTTAATACTTTCATAGTGACATAAATATTTATATCGAGTCTGTAATTTCATAAATATGAAACACCATATCAATGTAACAAGTCCAAAATATATTTTTAAAAAATAACTTTTATTATTGTATCAAAAGAACAAAGTGATGATCGAATAAGCGTACTCCTTACAATTTCGATGACATCAAATAAAATCATCTCTCCATTACTAACCAAATCAGAAAAGACAAATCTAAAAACTAATTAAATCATAAAAGACAGAGAATCCAGCATACACCTATGTTAAGATCACTCCTAATTGGAGCTAATTCCCTTAACTTCCAGAATAAATTATGCAATAAAGTTTTATGGATCCATCTTTTCAAAAGTCAAGCATTCACTTGCTAGTAATTGATCTCACATCTACCAGCAATGATGTACGAGAAGTCCACATAAAAAAATTATAACTATATAATAAAGTACAAGAAGAGTGTATTTATTTTTTTCAAAATTTACCCTCTTCTTTTTCTTTGTGCTAGTTACAACGTTTGCGGTTCTTGATTATGTTAACCTGACAAAATATATTAGACTATTCTAAACTTAGATTTGGTTATCAAGCTACATTAGAAAAACAACAAGCACTAGAATTCAGAGACTAGACTTCCCAGAAAAAGCAGAATTTACAAGTTGATCCTAAAGAAATAAATTCTTTCAGTAAATTAAGAATGCTAACAATTGTTCCTAAGTAGAATAAATTGCTACTTAACAATATCAACCCCAGTTCTTTCTCAAACATTTAAAAGGGATAACAACATAAAGAAAAAACAGAACTTGAATCTAGTAACTAGTTATACATCACCACTCTTGCACTCTAAGGAAAGGCCTCCCTTGTATATACAAATTGAGTTCAGAGTAGAGAGTTAATACGGGGAAAATGATACGAATTATTGAGCAGAAATAAAGATAACACAAAAGTACTTAACCAAAAGAACATCACACAAAGAAAAATCCACATATATGACTAGAGAGACTTGAAACAACCAATGATGCTTAACCAAACTTGTCGTCCAATGCTCGGAAATCACATACAAAGAATAAGGAAAGAAGAAATACCTTGTAGGTGCTGTTTTATGGAGAAGAATACTATCTTTTTCCACAGCTTTATGTCTCTTTCTCTGTCAGGGAAGAGAGTTAAATAACAATCGCTATCAAATTTCGAAAGTAATTTAGGACAGTTTTCTTAGCTAGAAATTCATATTTATGCTCAATATATTCATTAAATTAGCTCATGACCATTTTAGCAAGAGTATATTAAGAATATGATATGCTAGAGCACACATTTTGCCTATTAGACAATGAATGTTACTTCAACTGAATGTTCAAATGAACAATTCACCAGCTCTTTCCATCTCATGCTAGATAAGAATAATGGCCTATAATACACAAATCAAAGTACAAACTTAAAAATAAGATATAAATAAAATTTGAAAGAATTATGAATCCAACCTGACTAGAAGGCCAAATGTGTCGTGCTACGCAAAAGTGGCTAAGAATAATCTTCTTAACTGAACCAAAAATTGGAACTACTTGAAATCCCAATGAAACATTGGACTACCTGAAATCGCAATGAAACAGAGTTTAATAGCCAAAACCCATAGATCATTCACATGAATCTACTATCTCATTCCAAAACAGGTCGAAAAGCTATCCTCTAAATAGAACTCGAACTCGAGCATCTAATTTAAATTTAAAAATACAGTGCTAAAATTACTCTTCTCAGTGTCCAACATGTCCTATTAGCGAAGTGTTGTACTGCACTTAGCATATACAAAGTCCTAAAATTGTCCTGCGTCATGGAATCAGTTCACAAGCATAAAGGTGGAAAATATATCGATTACAACTTTTCATGAAAACCCTAATGCTCCACCTAAAACTCAAAACTGAAGTAATATTAATTGGCAAAATTTTCAAAAAAAAAAACATAAAAAATAGCAAACAAAACGTCAATTAGCGATGACGATACTCAAAAAAGCTTGTTCTCGAATCTTATTAAATAAAGATAAAAATTTACAAGGGTGGAAATCCTTCATAGNATATATAGTTGGGCTACCTGGAATGGTTGTCGGTTATGGTGAGAGAGAAATAAGTTGGGCAGAGGCGACGTCAACTCCTAAACTTCGACAAATGAGGGCTTTTTGCTTTATTCATTTATGTCTAAAATTTTCACTTATGGGAGGGAATGGGTGATTGTTGTGGGAAAAATGGGAGGGAAAGATAAAATACTAAAATTTCGTTAAATTTCCGAAAATAATGTAGAGAAATTTCTAACATTTGTTGTAAATGTTGCTAATTACCGACAAATAATATGACATTGGGAATAAATGTCACTATAATTGTGACATTTTGTATTAAATGTCCGTGATTTTGCAACTCTTTCTTATAAATGTCATGAAATTCCCTTTTTCCACCCGGTCGATGATACTCATACTTCACCTGCTGACAATTTAGGTACTGAGCTACATACTCTACTATGTCTCTTCATCTGCCTCCACCAATAGTGTTGTCTCAAGTCCTGATACATTTTTACAGCACCCGAATGAATGGAGTACCGCGAACTGTGAGCCTCCTGGGGAATAAACTCATGCAAGCCATCTACATTTGGTACACATAGCCTGCCCTGCATCCGTAATACACCGTCATCTCCAATAATGACTTCCTTGGCATCACCGTGCTGAACTGTGTCCTTCAGGACAAGCAGATAAGGATCATTATACTGACGCTCTCTGATACAATCATAAAGAGAAGACTAAGAAACCACACAAGCCAAAACTCGGCTCGGCTCGGAAATATTCAACCTAACAAACTGGTTGGCCAAGGCCTGAACATCCAGGGCTAATGGCCTCTCCGCTACCGGTAAATATACTAAGCTGCCCAAACCCTCCGCCTTACAATTCAAGGCATCGGCCACTACATTGGCCTTCCCGGGGTGATAAAGAATGGTGATATCATAATCCTTAAGCAGCTCTAACCAACTCCGTTGCCGCAAGTTAAGATCCTTCTATTTAAACATATGTTGTAGACTCCGGTGATGGGTATAAACCTCACAATGGACACCGTGCAAATAATGCCGCCAAATCTTCAAGGTATGAACAATAGCTGCTAACTCAAAGTCATGGACCGGATAATTCTTCTCATGTACCTTTAACTGTCTGGATGCATAGGAAATCACTCTACCGTCTTGTATCAACACTGCGCCCAGACCAATGCGCGACACATCACAACACACAGTATAAGACCTTGAACCTGTAGGCAATACCAATATTGGGGCTGTAGTTAAAGCTGTCTTGGGCTTCTGAAAGCTCTCCCCACACTCCTCTGTCCACCTGAACGGAGCACCCTTCTCGGTCAACCTGGTCATAGGTGCTGTAATAGATGAGAAACCCTCTACAAATCGATGATAATACCCCGCCAAACCAAGGAAACTCCAGATCTCCGTAGCTGAGGATGGTCTGGACCAGCTCTGCACTACCTCAATCTTCTTCGGATCTACCTTTATCCCTTCGCACGAAAGTATATGACCCAAAAATCGCACTAAATCAAGCCAGAATTCACACTTTGAAAATTTTGCATACAACTTATTTTCTCTCAAAGTCTGAAGCACAATCCTCAGGTGTTGTTCATGATCCTCCCGGCTCCAGGAGTACACCAGAATGTCGACAATAAATACAATGATGAAGGAGTCAAGATAGGGTTGAAATACACTGTTCATCAAGTGCATAAATATTGTTGGGGCGTTGGTCAGTCCAAATGACATTACAAGGAATGCGTAATGATCATACCGAGTCCTGAAGGCAGTCTTTGAAATATCTGATTCCCGAATCTTCAACTGATGATTGCCTGAATGCAAGTCGATCTTAGAGAACACTCTGGCACCCTGAAGTTGATCAAATAGGTCATCAATATGAGGCAATGGATACATGTTCTTCACTGTAACCTTGTTCAACTGGTGGTAATCAATACACATCCGCATAGAACCATCCTTCTTCTTCACAAATAAGATAAGAGCACCCCCAAGGCGATACACTGGGTCGAACAAAACGCTTATCAAGCAGCTCCTGTAGCTGCTCTGTTAATTCCTTCAATTCTGCTGGGGCCATACGATATGGTGGGAAAAAAATAGGCTTGGTGCTCGGTAACAAATCAATTCCAAAGTCAATATCTCTATCAGGTGACATACTCGAAAGATACATTGGAAATACATCAGGAAAATCCCTTACTATAGGAACTGACTCCACAGTAGGAGTATCAACATTAACATCTCTCACATAGGCCAGATACGCATCACACCCCTTCTCAACCATTCGTTGAGCCTTAAGAAATGAAACAACCCTGCTAGGAACATAATACAAGGTACCTTTCCACTCTAACCGTGGAAGACTGGCATAGCCAACGTCACCATCTTGGCGTAATAATCAAGGATAGCGTGATAGGGCGACAACCAGTCCATGCCTAAAATAATATTGAAATCCACCATACTTAGCAATAATAAATCGGCTTTGGTCTCAAAACCACTAATAACAATCAAACACGACCGATACACATGGTCAACAATAATAAAATCACCCACGAGTGTAGATACATAAATAGAAAAACTCAAAGAATCACGGGATACGCCCAAATATGGGGCAAAATAAGATGACACATAAGAATAAGTGGAGCCTGGATCAAATAAGACTGATGCATCTCTATGACAGACCAGAACAATACTTGTGATAATAAAATCAGATGCAACTGCCTCGGTCCTAGCAGGAAGGGCATAATATCTGTCCTGGCCTCCCCCTCTAGGGCGACCTTTACCTGTTCGATATCCATCTCTAGCTGGCTGTGGAGGTGGAGTGGTAATTGGTGCGGTAACCATGGCCTGAGAAGCCTAAGGGCCCTATGGAATAGGTGGGACCTGAGAAAATAGTGGAGGTGCACCCCTCCTAAGTCTGGGGCAATCCCTCATGATATGACAAGTGTCACCACACTCAAAACAAACCCTCGGAGGACGTGGCTACTGGGACTGGCTCGGACCTGATCGGCTGGACTGACCACTGAAAGCACCCGGTGCAGGAGATACAGTGGACATTGCCGGTGCATAATATGGAACCTGAGGTTAGGGAGTAGCCGGAATATCACTGGAAGTGCTGAATGAATAAGACGGCTCACATAACCTCTATCATGATGGGCTGCAGTTAGGGCACGAGAATTGTTATATGTGCTAGAATCTCGGGGTCTCTTAGCTTCCCTCTCTTCTCTCTCCCGGACCCGCATACCTCCCAATCTCCTAGAAATTGAAGCCATTTGTTTGTATATGATGTCCATCTCCAGCTCTCGGGCCATACTGAATTTGATACTAGGGTGGAGCCCCTTAATAAACCGACGAACCCGCTCTCGAACAGTAGCAACTAAGGCTGGTGCATGCCTAGCCAAATCACTGAATCAGACCGCATACTCTGATACGGTCATAGAACCCTAGCGCAACTGCTCAAACTCTACGCCCCATGCATCTCTAAGAATTTGAGGAACATATTCCCTCAAGAACATATCTGAAAATTGAGTCCAAGTGAGTGAAGTTACCTTAGCCGGACTATCCAACGCATATGCTCGCCACCACTGGTAGGCCGCTCCTCTAAGCTGGAATACCGTGAAAGAAACCCCGCTAGAATCCAAAATACCCATAGTACGGAGGATACGGTGGCATTCCTCAAGAAACCCCTGAGCATCCTCTAAAGCCAAACCACTGAAAGTGGGAGGGTGGTACTTCTTGTACCTCTCGAGCCTGAGTTACTCCCCTTCCGAAACTGTTAACCTAGCCTTGGGCCGAAGTGGGACAACTGGCTGCACTGATATAACCTCTAGAGCTTGGTCAACCTGGGCCCGTGGCTCTAGGGTGCAGGTAGCGGGAGTCTGTGATCCTCCCCCGGCCTGAGATGTGGCAGGAGCAAATGGAATCAACCCTGCCTAAGCTAGAGTGCCAAACATGCTCAAAACTTGGGCTAGAGTCTCCTGAAGTGCAGGGGTACTAACAGGCATCTCACGTGCCTGCTCTCCAACTGGAGCTACTGGTGGTTCCTCTGCAGCAGCTCGTGTAGGTGGTATGCCTAACAAAAAGCGATAAAAAATGAAAATAAAAGTAAAATTAACAATAAACTACAACAAGATAATAAGTAGCTGATAAGATGCCGCTCGTCATGTACAAAACCCAACACTCGGGTATACACAGTATTTTTCCAAAACCCGGTAGTCATAAGTCACAAGCTACAGAAGAAAGACTAGTATCTCTATATACCAGAGTCTAAGAAAAGAAATTTATACGGGAAGGTAAACGATATAGGAGGGAATAGAGGGGGACTCTGAGGTCTGCAGATGCGATAGATGTACCTTGAAATCTCTGTACAGCAGCAAGCACGCTCAGCTAATAGCGGGGCTGATAAGAAGCACCTTCATCTGCACACAAAATATGTGCAGAAGAGTAGCATGAGTACACCACAATGGTACCCAGTAAGTGCCAAGCCCAACCTCGGTAGAGTAGTGACAAGGTCAGGTCCGGTCCCTACTGGGATATAATAATAAGACAGATGATAAAAATAAAATGAAGAAAGATGGAGAATTTAACATAAAGAATTCACAGAAAAATAACAACACAGTACAATGAGATAACAATAAGGGGTACTCCCGAGATACCGTCTCGTAGTCCCAAAAGTAAATACTCAACAGGAGGATCTCCCGAGGTACTGCCTCGTAGTCTCAAAAGTAAATGTGTAGGGGGATCTCCCGAGGTACCGCCTCGTAGTCCCAAAAGTAAATATGCGAGGAGATCTCCCGAGGTACCGCCTCGTAGTCTCAAAAGTAAACGTGTAGGGGGATCTCCCGAGGTACCGTCTCGTAGTCGTAAAAGTAAATATGCAGGGGTATCTCCCGAGGTACCGCCTCGTAGTCCCAAAAGTAAATATGCAAGGGGATCTCTCGAGGTACCGTCTCGTAGTCCCAAAAGTAAACACACAACTCTAATCAGTGGAGAAAGCAATTAACAACAAGAATTCTACAACTAAGATTGATACAAACCAAGGCAGGAATTCAACTAGGCATGCTGCACAAAATTCATATATGCATTTAAGACACATAGATGTAGACATGTGATATTAGGTAAACAGGATAACTACACATGCTGGTATAACTCAATTGAGATGAAAGAGGAC